CGGAAACCTCTGCTTCCATAAACTGGGTCTCTGAACAAAGGCAGAAGCATCTGACCAGTGTTTACTCGGCCACTCCCCTTCCTGCTGCGGCGGAGCCTTTGTGCTCCGTTCTGGGCACCAGGCAGAAGGCGGCAGGAGCAGAGCCAGAATGGAAGCCCTTGGGGGCTGGGGGTGGGACGGCCGGATTCCAGGCTTTAAATGCCAGGGGGCCCAGCTGCCGACACAGCAGCCACTGATTAAGATGAAAGGAGTGTGAAGGGAATGCAACCTGAGAGCAGGGAAGGCTGGCACCCGCTAGGCCTGCACCCCTGATGGGCCCTCCCTGGCTCAGTATAGTGCCTCCCTCCTCTTACCCCCATTGCGGAAAGAAATACAACCACGTTATCAAAATTGGTAAATAGGAAAAACAATAAAAAAATCACCCATAATTTCACTACCTTCTCACAGTCCCTGGTAGATTATTAGCATAATTTCCTTCCATTCTTTTTTTGGAGCAAGGCCCAGTCTGGCAGTTCACTGAAGCTGACGCAGGCTGGTAATCATCACAAATTCTGTATTATTTCCGGGGCTCTAACCTCCTAGTTTCCTTTACTGTACTGAATTTTGGGCAACAGCTCAGGGCTTCACTTGACCACTCAGCAAAGTGCAGATGACCACTGTCCCCGTCTCTCAGGGCTGTGTGAGCGCTGCGTGCTACAAATAATGCACGTTAGGGGCTCGCGGCAGTGGCCGACATGCAACCCTTTAACTGCTTAGTATTCAATGGTCTCTACTGGCTGAAAAATCTGCATCCAATACTATAGTAAGTAAACTTCGACTGCTGAATGCTGAAGTTGTTTCCAGTATTTCCCCATTATAAATAATGCACTGAAAATTAAACTGCCTTCTGCATACCACTGATTTTATATTCTTTATGCTGTTTTCTTAGGCTAGGTCCAACAGTATAAACATTTGTATGAGTCTTGATTCAGATGATTAAATTCCTCACAAACTATTAGGATTAGAAACTTACCAGGGTGCCAATTAATGATATACTTGCAAATACCATGTATTATTATGCAAAACTCAGGGGCAATAACTTATGCAACTCACAATCCTATGTAGCAAACTGAATAAATAATATATAAAATTTGTTTAGTTATTATTTTTTCCAAGAACCAAAGGAGCTCCCAAATTCCCACTTTGGGGGGTGTTTGCTATCCCCTCCAGTGGGGGCTGTGCTGGCCACTGGGGAAGCCCCAGACGGTTTTCTTTGGGGGTGGGGGCTCATCGCCACCATGCGCCCACGCCCTTTGAAGAGTGCTGCACGTGCACCCTGTCCTTTAGTCCTCCCTCCCCACAATCCTGCCTCCATTCTAATTAACTATGAGAGCTGTAAGGCTCAAAGGAATTTCAGGTGGGCTCAAGCCATTTGGACAGAGGAAAACAAAGCTGGAAGACCTCCAGTCTCCTATTGCCAAGGGCAGTGCAGCAGGCTGGAGGGCCGCTGGAGCAGATGCTGAATGAATGACCTAAATGTGGTAAGAGACGACATGTGACCGCTGGGGCCCAGCGTGCAGTCTGGGCTCCAGAGTCAGCCTGACCCACAACTGAACTTTGTTTCCAGCACCTGCCACCTAAGGGAACCTCAGCAAGTTACTTCCCCCCTTTCTCTGGGCCTCACAGGCACTCATTCCACAGGGCTGGAGGTGAGCTGAGAGCAGTTTCTACAGGGCCTTCATGATGAAATGAGACGTTGCAGGCAGCTGGGGTGTGACTCCAACACCTCACTTCTAAATTCTTCCGGGGGGAGGGGGGGCCTGTTACAGCTCAACACTGCACACTGGTTCGCATCTCACCTTAGAGGCTGAGGCTGCTAAACTGGGTAGCTGAAAAGCAATCATCTATCCACTGTGATTTCACAGTAACTAACACGTTCTGTTTTTTATAGCTGGTTTTTCAGCAGCAAATGGGGACAGTCACTGAGGATTTCTGACAGTTGGACAGCAAGCAAATGCCACATGCATTATGGAGTCCGATGCCTTGCACACCTGAGAAGTCACAAACCACAGTGAAAGGAAAGTTGCCTATCTGTCTCAGTGTGATAAAGACTCACTTGATTCTTTTCCACTGGTTCCTGTCACTTTATCACCTGGACTTAGGGCAGTGGAAAATTCCCTTTATCCTTGCTTTGGAGAGATCTACTACGAAAGACAAATCCTAAAACCTAGCGTCCATTTCCATCTCTGGAGAAATAAAAATCACCTTGCAGTAACGACTGCCACCTTGTGGCCATACACGAAACTGCCACCAGGAAAAAGTCTGCCAACGCTAAAGGCTTAACCTGATGAACACTGGGAATCCCATGCGACCACCAACATTTTGGTATATTGTATAATTTATACTCTCCTAAGAAATTCTGCACTATATTCATTACTTTAATTGGGCTCCTAATGTGTTCCAAGCCCATATCTTGTTCTACTTCACCATAACAAAATCTAACTGTTGGTGACACCTCTGACCACTTACTTCTGCAGCATCACGGGGCTCCCTGGAGTTGCCTGTGAGTCCCTCCTTATTTGTTCACTCACGCTGTTTGAACCAACAGCCACTGCGTGACCAGACGAGGTTCACCAAATGCCTGTCCACTGTCTGGGTCAAAGGTTATCACTGATGGAGAGCACCCTACCTAATGTCACAGGCAACCACTGCTCTTTGGCTCAGGCTGTGGGAAGACAACCTGAGTCATAGCTGCCCTGGCATTTGCAGAACCCGGCAGATACCAGGGACCTGCGTACGGCTGGAGTCAAAATGCAGGCAGTGACCAGTGTCACCTACCCAATGGTTCCGCCCTTCTCCCCAAGGGTGCTTCATGCCTGAGCCGCCACCCACACATCTCAGAGGAAACCGCTGGATGAGGAGGTGAGGGTGGAAAAGGGCTTTGTGCAGGCAAAGCGCACAGCACAGGAATAGGATTCTGGGGACACTCTAGGTGGCAGTGGAGGACGGCAGAACCGGAATTCCCACAGGAACCGCGGACCCCAGGCACAGGGACGGAGAACCAGGGGTAAGGCGACAGGGGCGGCCCAGAATCCATGGCATCTGGAGGAGCCATGGACCATGAGGTGAGGAGGAGGTGGGTGCAAGGAGTCCAGACCACGAGGAGGAAGAAAGAAGTGCAGGGGAAACGTGGCCCAAGAAGCCATTAGCTGACACCCCCATTCCTTCCAATGTGCATGCACAGCATGGGGGTGCACACTGTATACCAGCCTCAACATATGCTCCCGCCTCCCAGCTTCCAGTGTTCCCTGCCCCACTGCTCTCCAGGCTGCACCTGTGTCCTTTCCAACAAGGGTTTGAACACAGGTGACCTTCAAGTATCTGTGAATGCTCAGCCTTACTCAGTCAGAGACATGCAAGTCAGACTCTGGAGAAGCCATTTTTTAAACCTCTCCAATCACCAAAATGACAGAGCAGGCAGTGATGGGAGGCTGATGTGGGAGTGTGAATTCGAAAGAAGCAAGCGGCACGAGCCTGCGCTCTGCAGTCTGATTGCCTGGTATCAAAATCTTGGCCACTTGGAAGCTAAATTCCTCTGTGTCTCAGCTTTCTCACGTGTAAAATGGGAGTAATGCTAACAGAAGTTACTTCATAGGGTCATTATAAGCATTAAATGAGATAATACACACACAGCATTTAGAACAGTGCCCAGTATACACGTAGTAAAATGTTAGCCATCTTTAACTGCTGTGGGGGAGGCCAATCGAACTCAGTCAGAATTTTAAATGCGCACATTCTGACCAAAGCAACACAGCTTCTCATAGTGCATCATGTAGAACTAACAGCACAATACGTGCAGATAAAAGCACAAGGGGGCTCACTGCAACACTGACTGAAATAAAAGACTGGGCACGACCTAAATACAGCAATAACAAACAGTGCCAGAAGACCTCTGATGACAAAAAGGCTCTGCCACTGCCAAGGTATGCCTTGGCAGACCCTGTTGGTGGCTTCTCCGGAGCCATCTCCCCTCCTCACTGACCACCGAGGCCCAGTGCTAACTGGGCAGCACAGTGCCCCGCCCCAGGGGACGAGTCAGGGTTGGCAGGGGTCTACCATGGGAAACCAGCTCATCCTGGCTACATATTTGCTCTTCCAGCCTCCTGAGCAGCTAAGGGTGAGCAGGTAACTCAAGTCTAGAGAGAATTGTCTCTCACCGATAAAAGGAGAGTGGCCCACGAAGCCCTGTGTCTCTGCCCCCACGTGTCTTCCTCCAGATGTTGCCACACGAGGTGTGATGTTTAGCACTGTGGCAAATGACTTGAGACCCCAAGGGGAAGAGATGTCCAATGTTATTGAACAACTGAGCCAACCCTAACATTGCTGCCACCACACTCCTCCAGGAAAAAGTTTGTCCTAAAGAAGTAAACTCATTCTTCCCATTTATTGTAAAACCACTGTTGTTCAGGTATTCTGTTAACTGCAGCCAAAAGCATTCCTAACTGCACACCATTGGAGGGTAGACAGACTTGAATCCCAAGATCAGTCCACAGAATAAAGGCCAGGGTCCCTGATTAAGGCCAGGAGCAATACCTAGGGACATTACAGACCAAGGTGCCCTCTATGGGCCTACCCTCATCTGAACTCTTATTAAAGCTTCAGGAGAGGAGCCAAGGTCAAACTTACCAAGATAAGCAGCCCATGACATTTCCTCTACTGTTACACTTATGTAACCTTCACTCTGCCCCAGAAGACGTACATGTAAAGACCTTTACAATCTTAGGACACAAGCCTCACAGTGACCCTTCTTCAGGACAGCATGATTGAAGGTGGTTGGTTCACTGGTTTCCACGTTCTTCCACAGGCCATCAGAAGTCAGTGGGTGCCTTCATATGGCCCTACCATGGGAGCTTCTCCCCCCCAAATTCCTGACATCCTGCTTGAGGAAATCCTCAACATCTTATTGTCTCAACTCTCTAAGAAGGGAGGCCGCCGAGGTGGTGAATGTGAGTCGTACTCACAGGAGTCTGAAAGCAGCAGAACAGCTGGGTGAGGAAGGGGTGGTTGCGGGCCAAGGACAGGATGCGCTTCTCCGTCATGGTGCACTCCACGTCGTCGTCCTGCAGGATCACGTCCTTCTTCAGCACCTTCACAGCATAGAGTTCTCCCGTTGCTTTTGTTCTTGCCAGCATCACCTACAGCAAAGAGGGAGGAGGGAGCATGCACCTGTGAGAACTCGCAGGTCTTAGGGTACGGGCACACGCGAGGCAGAAAGGGAAGGACACGTGGAAATGTGGGTGTGTGTGCATACACACACACCCAAACAACATACATGTATGCCATGCTTAGTTTAACCCAGACAGTGAAAGCCAAGACCTACCTTCCCAAAGCTCCCCTTTCCCAACACTCGGATGAACTCGAAGTTATCAATACCAAGTCGGTTGGAAGAATGAACTCCAACCCCATTTCCTTCTTTGGTGCTCTCTTTTCCCTGTCGTCTTAGGGTCGATCTGGAAACGAGCTTCTGTAAAGAAGAGAAGGAATGCATCGAGTCAGAATTCACAGGGTGGGCATTTATGGGTGGAGAAGACCTCACTTGCAACCTCAGCAATATAACACATGCGGTAAGATCAATTCAGCTTGACATGTGATCAGCTTCCTCTTCAAAACTACCTTGACATCAGCTCCTAATCTGTGCGTACTCTATTTGGGCATGAATCATTTAAACATATACCTAAGCCACAGAGTTTCAGTTTATGCTCAAGTGGGTGTGTATAGAAACACAAACAGCCTGGTCCCTCTGGTTTCTGGCCCTAGAATTTCTACAGGGTGGTCAGGTTCCAAGAGCGCCACCTGGTGTCCACTTTCTACAAAGAGAGGTGTTTAATATCTGCCCCAAAGCCTTTTGGGCGCTCCCAAAGGCCAGGCGATTTGCAGACATCCACCTGGGAACATGTATAATACAAGCTCCCACTAGACAGACGTCAGATCAGAAGTCTAACATCCTGGACTTTTTGATCTAAATAGATTTTTTAAAAAGCTAATCTGGGGGCAACTTCTAAACAATGTTTGCCATCAGCAACTGTGCAACAGCCACAAACTACATTTTATCTACTCAACCCATAAAACAAAGATAGCAAGATATGAAATAAATAATCTTAAAAATCCGACTGTTTTCATAGTTTCTCCTCCTGACCTCTGGTCACAAATTTTTCAAAGACGGAAACTTTTTACCAGCTTGCATTTTACTCCCGCCACTTCAATACCTCCCCTGGCTGGGTTGGCATTGGCAGAAAGCTGTGAGCTGGTGTTTCTCAATCTCTTTTTTAACTCATTCTTCTCTTTTGATAGACTTAAGGTTCTGTCTCTTTTTGCTGGGGCCCTGTCAAGTACCAGGTAACTGTGGTTTTCCCATTATTAAATATAACATGAAAGACACTTGGTGACATACGACAGGTGGCCTTGCCTATTCCTAGAGGTTATGCCATGTGGTCCATCTTAACCTCACTGTATTTCAGAAGCCCTGATGTGGAATCCGGGAACAGCTGCCTTGTGCATCCTTCCTGTCTATCCACAAGACAGACGGACTTTGCTGGACTTTGCCAATACCTCTCTGAAATATCAAAAAATACAATGCTCACCAAGTGCCCTTCAGTAAAAAGAAAATGGGGTGGTTAGCTGACCTGTTCTGCATAACCAAGAACCTGAAGTGACGGGACTTCCTTTCCTGAGTACTCAGACACACTTAACAGGTAAGTGTAGAATTTTCCTGAACCAGCTATCATGCTCCACCTTGCAGAAATCACAGCTGCAGCCATGGCTGCTTTCCAACTCTCTGCAGACCCTGGCCAGGAAGGCAGCTGCAGGTCATGGGCCTGGAAAGTGGCCGAGGCTGTAACGGACAATAGCAGGTGGAGGTCACTCAGGAGGTGGCGAGACAAAGCACATCCAGGGCAACGGACACAACGCCACCCACTGTTGGGAGCTCAGAGGAAGGAACTCCGCCTATCACTGAACTAGAGAGATACATTTGTAACCCATAATCCTAAACTGTAGAACTGCTGGATCCTGGGCTGTAGAGAGCCCCAGAGAGCTTCCAGTTCAACCTCTTCAGAGAAGGAAGCTGAGGCCCACTGTTGAAAGTCAACTGCACTGCTGAGGACCCAGCCAAGGGCATAACCAAGACTCCTGAAATCCAAGGTTTCTACCAGACCACACTGGCAGGAAGCTGATTAAAAAAAAAAATTCTTCCTCTGCTTCTTGATGTATCTGCATGATCATTGTTTTTTGTCATATAATTGTATATAGACTCTGATTCAAGAAACCAAATGCTCTTTAAAAATGCAATAAACCTGTTTATTGTGTTTGCTGAGATTAGGAACTTTGATGATGCCACGTGCACTCATTTGGGCTGACCACATCTGAACAACTTCACAATTACAGCACATGGGAAAAAAATGACAAAAAACGGAGTCTCACCGAGGTTGGAGAAATATTTCCCGGTTGGAGGCCCATCCCAGCCAGAGTCTTGGCCAGCTCCACCGCGTTCACCCCACAGTTGGGGGCCACGTTCGCCTGGCACCGAATGTGCACGTTCATTTTGCACACTACAGGGAAGAGAAGGGAAGCCACACTCAGAAGGGAGCCCAGTCGACGTGCGCAGCAAGGGACAACTCTAGTGACCAGCCAGACGAGGACAGGGCGTCGCTCAGGCTAAACAATGCCACCTTCTCATCCAATTAAACCCACACTCAGAACAACCCCTGACATTTTTATCTATCTCTGTGTTTTGTAGAAGCAGAAAGCCTGCAAAAAGAAGAATACTGAAAAGGCACACTGAAGAATAATGAATTTCAAACGCATTTTCCCCACTGTGACTTAAAAGACATTCATCTAAATAAATCATGTGTAACAGTTACTGCCGATTTAACGGTATGATTCAATGGAGAGATGAAAACGTTCATCAGAGCAAAGGTTCAGTCAGTTGACTAACAAGGAATCAGACCAAATGACTTATGCTTTTCCACCTCTCACTCAAATAAAGGTAGCAGCCTGCAGGCCACGTGGAGAAGGCTGTTCAAACAGGATGGAAATGGTGTTTCTGAGAGAAAAATCTCTAGGTGAAGCTCTGTTTCTGAGCATTGTTGTGGTCGGAGCCTGCACAGCACAGAGTGCGGCATCCTGTGGGGCTGCGGTTCTCAGAGCTCGCAGCCTGTGTTCTGACTTCTTCACAGGGGGCGGGGAGCAAGGTTTCTAAAGGTCACGGTAAATGGCGGTTGGAAGAGGAGAGAGAAGCAAGCAGAACTCCTGTGCACAGGAAACTGACTTGGGATGATGAAGGGCCCCAGGGTTAATCAGCAGAAAGTTCTGATGGAGTGTCTTCACAGGGCCTGCCGAGGGGCAGCAGGAACAAACTCCCGTTTTGTGTGTGTGTGGGGGGGAGGGGGCGGGTCGCCACATCTTCAGAAGCATGCACACATTCAGGGTTGGCGGGGCCTGAGTTTATGTAGTGGAGGGTGCCCTCTTTAAGACAAAGGATGTGTAGTCCAGTGGAATGCTCTGGAAGGTGCCCTGGCCAGGCAGAGGCCCTGAGGCTGAAGCATCATTAGCTTCCTGGGAAATCCACCTTTCTCAGGAAAGCCGGTCTGGAGACACGCAAACCTGCAGTGGCTCTCTCTCTAAAGCAGCATGTGTCAATTGAAGCAAAAATTACAGAAGAGCCAGACCACTGCAGGTATGCTACCCTCAGGGCCCCCAGGGACAAGACCGGTGCAGAAGAACCCCATGCGTGGCTCTGCGTGTCAGCAACAACTGGACCAAAACAGACAACGGCTCTCACGCTGAAAACCCACACCCAGGGCAGCCTGCCTCCCTCACATTCGAGTGGTGCCGAAGCCAAAGCTATCCATGGACTCTTCTGACTGTGGAAAAAGAACTACCGTGTTTTCTGACCATAAGATGCATCTAGGTTTTAGAGGAAAATTGGAAAAAAAATTTTTGACGCAAAAGATGTGGTAAAATATTTAATGACATAAATAACATAATATTTCACCAATATAAATGTAAACAGAACTCAGCAACCATTAACAACCATTAATCCTCCCAAATTGGGGGTGGGGTGGAGAAAAGTGCATCTTATAGTCTGAAAAATACGGTAAGTACTCTTCTAAAAAAATTTGCCTTTTTATTTTTTATTTTCTTTTTTAAAAAATTTTATTGATTTGCCATTACATTTGTTCTATTCCCCCCTCTGTTCCCCTCCACCCTGCACACCCCTCCTCCACCATTCCCCCCTTTAGTTCGTGAACATATACCTCAACTTCTTTAGATTCTATATTTCCCATACTATTCTTGCCCTCCCCCCTATCTATTTTCTACCTACCATCTATGCTACTTATTTTCTGTACCTTCTCCCCGCTTCTCCTTCTCCCACTCCCCTGTTGCTAACCCTCCATGTGATCTTTATTTCTATGGCTCACTCCTGATCTAGCTGTCCTCTTAATTTGCTTTTGTTTTAGGTGTGGTTGTTAATAACTGTGAGTTTGCTGTCCTTTCACTGTTCATCTTTTTTATCTTCTTTTTCTTAGGTAAGTCCCTTTAACATTTCATATAATAAGAAGGAGAGAATCCTAGAAGCAGCCAGAGATAAGGGCACAGTCACCTACAAAGGAGTTCCCATCAGACTGTCAGCAGATTTCTCAAAAGAGACCTTACAGGCAAGAAGGGGCTGGAAAGAGGTATTCCAAGTCATGAAATCCAAAGACCTACAACCAAGATTACTCTATCCAGCAAAGTTTTCATTTAGAATGGAAGGACAGATAAAGTGCTTCTCAGATAAGATCAAATTCAAGGAGTTCATCATCACCAAGCCCTTATTATATGAAATGTTAAAGAATTTGCCTTTTTAAAATGCAGCTCAGCCTTCTGTTGACAGAAGTAGGCCGGGTAAGTCCAGGCAGCCAATGGCAGCCGTGCCAACCCTGATGGGAAGGCGGGGGGCCTCCTGCATGAAATTCACGAGTACTTCGCAGCCCGGCCCGTTGCTACAGCGACACCCAGTGGGCACTGACGGAAGGCCAGGCATTCTCCAACTCCTAACAGGACAGGGGTCAGCCCTAGTGCCCAGACCCCTCACTGAGGCGAAGTTTCAAACGTGGGTTTGAAGTGCCCTTCACCACACCTGCCCTCGTCTCCACCATGGTACACATTCCTCGAGCAGACCAGGGCAGCGCGAGGTACCAGTTACGCATTCCCAACTCGGCTCCTGCTCATCTCTGGTGAGGCCATAGAACCGCCTCTCTGGCCAGTCCTTCCTGACCGCCCAAGTGTCTATTTTGACCACCTCACTGCCCATGCTCTTCCATTTATAACCAACATCCCTTTCTCCCCCCTCTTTCAAATACCCATGAAAACACACAAGGACAAGTCTAGACTCAGCACTAAATGCATGCTGGCCAGCTAGCTAGCATGTTGAGTTTAACAACTGATTTAATATTCTATGGTTAGGAAAACCATGAATCAGACACAGCTCTCTTTCCCTGCCTGACAAAGGGACACATAAATAGAGAACTACTAAGATGTTCATTCACAAAGTGTCTAAAACCATCAGTCCTAGGTCAGAGTCTGAACCTACAGAATTCCAAACGCTCGCATACCGGTGGGCTCATGAAGTAACTCACTTTTACACTGAAGTCCTTGTCGCATTATCCCCCAGAGCAGGGAGCCACAGTGATCGCAGAATGTTGGCACTTTGTAGTTGTGGATGCTGAACTTGTGCGGGATATTGATTCCGAACCTCTGTTCAGCGAGCTGTGAAAAAGAAATGGGACAAGAGCTACAGGACAAGAACTGTAGCTGTACAGTTCTACAGCTACCAGATATGGAAGACCCCCGGCATCTTCCATAAACACTGTAACTGGAGCCCACGGAATGCAGAGTGCTACTGTGACACCTAAGCCAGGTGTATTATTTACTGTACTGCGCAGCCCCGTTCATTACTTGGGTAATTTTTAAAAAATTATTATTTTTTTTTTTAAAGAGAGGGGCCCAGGCACATGCCCTGACTGGGAATCGAACCAGCCACCCTTTGGTTCACAGGCCAGTGCTCAATCCACTGAGCTGCACCAGCCAGTGGACTGGGTCTTACTAAGCAGAATAAGCAAACTTTCTAATGAGCAAGACTGGACAGAAAAGTGTGGTGTACATTAGATTGTTCACCACTAGGGGAGATAAATAGAAATGAAAATTAAAAAAAAAAAGAAATTAAAAATTTTATTTCAACTTTTATATCCGGACTTTGTGTCTCTACCAATGTCCTCAAAACCATATCTATTTCCTAGAACCTTTCAACTACAGGATTAAACAGGTCTTTCATAGACTATACACTGGCTCTCACCACAAGGTCTTCCAAGAAATTGTGTCACGAGGTATGTGTGTGTTGGGGGGGGGGTTGGACAGGGAGAAGGTGCCACCCAGAGGACATGGAACCACAGAAGGAATTCCTGCCTAAGTGGCATTCAAGTGGCTATCAGCCCTTCCAGCCTGTATCTGGCCTTAGCATTCTGACATCTGAGTGCAAAGGTTTAATCTCACGTACAAGCACTTCCTGGCTCTTTGGCTAAGATCAAGTGTAATCTCACTGTTTCCAGCAAATATTTAGACTAGGCATGTGCTCTAAAGCCTACATCACAATTTGAAGCAACAACTGCACATTCACACACGACAAAGAATGAGGCAATTATTATTATTCTTGCATATTTCCTGACCTCTTTTTCATGAAAGAAAGCACACACATCTCTAGGTGTGCTCTTTAGCCATCCTGTCTGTGGCCAGGAATGAGTTCCAGAGTCAGACATTTCAATTCTTCTGTGAATCCACAGCTATTTGTCAGCAATCATCCTGCTTTCTACCTCCAGAATTTAGAATAATGCCTACCCCAGCTCAAAGCGATGCCAAGTGGCCAAGGTGAGGGCCAAGCACTTACCTACAGATATATGTCCTCCCTGAAATGTCTTGAGAGGCTGGCGGAAGCCAACAGGCTCTTCAGTTGGGAAGCACAGTTTACAGTTAAAAGCGTACGCATTACGTCATTCCATCTGGTTTAACTATTGTAACATTTCAGGAAAGACGCATCGATCCTAGTTCAAGAACGAGGCTGAGAGGGAAGCTAGCTAGCAGGGGATGCTTCTGCATTCAGATCCTGCATTCAGATCTGCATTCAAAACGCAGGGACCTTTTCACTCCTCCAAAGCCCTCTCCAAATTAGAACTGAATCCCTATACTTTATTCTCAGCTGATTGCTAATGGGATCATCTCAAGGACGGGCCATGCACAAATGCCATAATATAAAAAGGAGAGATGTTCCAATTCTGACCCCACCATTGGCTTCAAGGAGTGTGGAAAGGCGAGGGAGAAAAAAGAGAAAAAGAAAGTGGGGGAGAGAGGAGAGGGACAGGGGAGAGATCACACAGGCACCTGGTCAGCAAACCGCTATCCTCTTACCTTTGCATCCACTTTGTTAATGTTGTTCTGGCAAGTGCAGGCTGTGACAATGAGATGATGGCAGCGCTTATGGACCACACAGGTGCACACTGGGAAATCAAACCCACAGTTACATATTTATCGGAGGCTCTCAGTCCAGCCAGTTACACGAGTTTCCACCAGGGCTGTCCCAAGTCAAGGTGCCTGCCTGGGAAGGCTGGCCCATGTGACACAGATAGCAGCCAGGGCTCCCATCCTATTTTCGTCACCATCATTCTAACTCCAGTCTTTACTCACACTTAAACTACTCTTATTCAAACCCTGAGCTTCCGTCATCCTCCCTGGCTTTTAGCCTTCCCGTATCCCTCTGCAGAGGAATCTCCTGAGAGTACGGTTTAAGTCACCTCACCCTGTGAGCTGCACCTTCAACGGCACCTCACTGTCAATCGACAGAGTTCAAACCTCCCGGCCAGGTGGTAGGCCCTGCAGGGCCTACCCAGGCTTATCTGTCTCCTTTCTTATATGCGACCTATTTGTTCCAATGAAAACTAGACTCCCAGAAGCAAGGCTCCATCCTCTCCACCCCACGCACTGTGTCCTTCTCAATCCTATTGTTTCACTAAATCTTAAGTTTATTATAAGACGCAACTTAAAAAAAACTCTCTTCCATGAAAATACGACCCCTGGCTACTCTTCTAGACTGAGACCATCTTTCCTTTCACTCATCTCCTGCCCTGTGCCTGCCCCCCTCATTCCAGATTTTCCACAGATAGCCTCTAATGCCCTCAGAACTCCCACCCGGCACGGGGCCGTGAACAGAGTACGTATTCACTAAATAGTTGCAGAATGACTCGGTCAATTGTTCGAATAGTTAGAGCTCTGAGTAACTTTTTCATTTTCATCTAGACCACTGACACAGTGCAGACAACGTCCAGCTTGCTATGCAAGGACGAACACGTGCAATGAAGCAATATGAAAATACACCTCATTTCTAAGATCTTTCAAGACATGTGGAAGTTTCTAGGATTAAATACATAAAGACAGATGACATGTCAGCAAATTGCACTGTGTTTTAAAACAAACACAGCTTTCATCAGATAGAATTCTCAGAAGAACCAGAGGAAAGTTCCCAGGGAACTGACTTTTTTTTTTTTATATGAGGAGACCTCAAAATCGTCATCCATGTAGAAAAGCCTTATATTCTAGGTATTTGAGCTTTTTTTTTTCGGTTAGCTTGGCTACAGCTTTATTGATTTTATTGATCCTTTCAATGAACCAGCTTTTGATTTACAGATTTTTCTCCACTCTTTTACTAATTTGAAATTTACTGATTTCTGCTCTTATTTTATTTTTTCCTGCTCACTTTAAGCTTAAGTTTCTCTCCTTTTCCTAGTTTCCCATGATGAAACTTATATCACTGATTTTTAGCTTTTTCTTCTTTTCTAATGTGAGCATTTATTACTGTAAATTTTCCTCTAATTTACAGTAATATTGAACCCCACATATTTTGATAAAATGTACAGTTGACCCTTGAATACCACGGGGGCCAGGGGCACTGCCTTCTCCTGCAGTTGAAGATCTATGTATAACTTTCAAGTTCCCCCAGACTTAGCTTGTTCCTCAGTATCTGTGGGGCATTTGTTTTAGGACTGCCCCCTTTCCCCAGCCAACACCAAAATCCACGCACAGATTCTCAGTCCCCTTTACACAGGGGTGCAAATCAACGATTCACTCGGTGTGCCGCATCTGTGTACAGCGACTGTGGCCAGAGCAGCCCAGGGGTTTACTGAGAACATTCCGTGTCTAAGGAGACCCATGTGTAAGGGGGCCCAATGGTTTTAAAACCATGCTGTTCAAGGGTCAACTGGACGTTCATTTTCATTTGGTTCAAAATATTTTTTATTTTCTCCTCAGCCTTCTTTTACCCATGTGTTCTTTAGAATGTGTTGTTTTATCTCCAAATATTTGGGTGATTTCCAGTTACCTTTCTTCTCTTCATTTGTAGTTTAATTCCACTGTGGTCTAAAAAGATACTTTTTAATGATTTTTATTCTTTTAAATTGGTTAAGATTTGTTTTGTAGTCCCGAATGTGGTCTATGTTGACAGACGTCCCTCGTGAACTTGAGAAGAATGTGCATTCTGCAGTTGTTACGTTAGAGTGTCCCACACACGTCACTTTGCTGATAACCCTGACAGCTATGACATCCTCGCTGACCTTCTGCCTGAGTCACTGGCATTTCCAACTGCAACCGTGGACTTGCCTACATATCCTTGCAGTTTTACCATTTTTTCCTTCGTATGTTTTGAAGTCTGTTAGGTGTATATATGTGAGGAATTATGCCTTCTTGAAGAATTGACTTGTTTATTGTTACATAATGCCTCCCCTTATCCCTTATCCTTTTCCTTGTTCTTAAGTTTGCTTCATCTATTTGCTTTTAATTAGTACAAGCATGGTATACCTTTCTCCAACCAGGTGTTTTGTTTTATATCCCTTAGCAAGATATGAACACATTTATGTCTCCTGACCGATGTTCTTTCCTGGTGTTTTAACAGCGGGTGGCACAGTGAAGACCAGCCTATCAACTACCCTAGCTCTATGCGTAAGATGGACCAGAGCTGACTGAGGGGCATAGCCCTGTGCTGGAGAGGTGCAGGCCAAAAAGTGACATCCACCTGTGACCTATGTTCTTATTGGGCCTGGGATTAATCACATAAGGCCAATTATTGTTATACTGATTGTATACCCACGTTTTCTAAATTTTGAAACTCGACAGAATTGTTCATACATATCAAAATCAAAATTAGATGCGAGAGGATGTCCTGTTTCATTTCAAGGGAAAGAATGTTTCACCTCACCTTCTTCACGAGCGAAGGTAGGAAGGATTCCTTTGTTCACCTGTGGGCTACCACTCTAGCGTACGTGGTGCTATTTTACCAGTCATCCGTCAAGTGCAGATCAAGAGGGCACCATATACGTAAACCGTGTGACGATGGACAAGCCAGCAACCAGGGAGGCCCCAGTAAAAGACACACCCAACCTGGCCGGCTAACTGTCCTGAGGAAGGAGCCTTCCTTCACTTCCCCCTTTTATTTCACTCCAGTTCTGCCTGAACACCAGCAGATGAGATTGATCTTAGAATTGTGAAAATCAAAATAAACCGAATGTATAATGACAAGAAAGATCATTAATACCTTAACTTCAGACACTTCTCACCTTTTTTTACAAGTCAGAAAAGCCCCTTGGACAGGAGCCTTTGTTTTTAATCAGGTAAAGAGAAACAGCACAGTGCCCCTTCTCACCCCTTACTGGCAATGGGATTGTGAAAAAAAAAAAAAATCTATCTATCTATCTATCTATCTATCTATCTATCTATCTATCTATCTATCTTCAGGACTCAAGGGTGCTGCTCACAAAGTGGCATTAGCTTTTGGTGCCTTCACGTTATTGCAGAGACAAAACTTCCAACAACTAAACTTTATTAGGTATCGTGAATTTAAGAAAAAAAAAAATCCCCTCTACATTGTCTAAAACACACAGCCAAAATGTAAATAAAGCTAGAGAGCTGCAATTCTACTGGGGTCTCATGGGGCCTGCAAAGAGTTATCACAATATTAATGGACTGCATCCTGTTTCCTCTTGGTACAATCACTTTTTAACATAGGAACAAGATTAAATGCAATTTTCAAAATGTTTTCTTACCTTGGCATTGATAACCCTGTTTCCCAAATACTCCCCTGTTCAAGACAACAGAGACAGAAATTACCATCAGATGAATATTTCAGCAACAATGCTCCTACAATTGCAGTGCTCAGGGAAAACAAACTTTATCTGCTCATATTTTATGAAAAACACATTTTCAGAGAAGCGAGGATGATGTGCTTTCTGAGCCCTGGTTTGTTACCACAAGACACAGACGAAACCATGGGAAGGGTTAGAGGGCTCCACACAATATAAACAAATGGGTGGGTATTGGCGATCCTCACCCCACCTGCCTCTGCGGCAATCCCCCAGCTCCCTACCAACCATCAACCCTCATCCATATGCGTGTCTGAGCCGCAGGGGAAGCACCGCTCCACTACCTGACAGGCGCAGGTGCACACGTGGACACAAACAGGGGCGTCCAGCAGAGCTGCCTGACCCTACGCACGCTCCCCTCTCCCTGAGCCCGGTGTCCATGAAAGGGGAGAAGTATGGCCAAGGTGTGCCCACTGCTTCCATTCCTGTCTCTCCCTCTTCGAGGCTCTGGGTGACGGTGGTTCTGGGTGAATTTGTACTCCCATTAACAAAGACCACACTTACTGAGCCCGTAGGATGTGCTGGCTAAGAGCACAGCCCCTGAAGCCAGATGGCCTGGGTGTGATTTAAAGGCACGTTGTTAGCTTCTTTGAGCCACAGTTTCCTCTATAAAAAGGGGTAATGATCACAGTACCTACTTTATAGGGTTATCATGAAAAAAAAAAGAGTTGATCATGTAAAATACTCAGAAGAGGGCCTGGCACTTTGAATGCTATATAAAAGTTTATTACATAAACAAAACAAAATTATTTACTCTATTTTACAAATGAGGAGACCTTAATGGGTTATATAACTTGTCTGTGTTCACACATCTAGTTGGTGGTGAGACCGAATTTCAGACTTTTAACTGTGTGTATGTAGCACACATACCAATGTGTGTGTGTTCGAATGTGTGGGTGTGACGGAGACAGAGGGAGACAGGGGGAGAGAGGCCAGGGTGAGCAGGGCGGGGTGGGAGCTTCCTTGGTGGAAAAAAATGTAGTGAAATTAACAGATAAGTTTCCATTTAGAACCTGTGTTCAGGTCATAGGCTGTCACCACAAACACCCACAGGGTAGGCAGGTCACGTGAAGGAGGGAAGCAGACGGTGAGATATGAAATAAAGAACACTGAAGAGTCTCCCTCTGGGGCAGGCACACCGCAGGGGTGGGGGAGGGGGTACAGCTACTCAGACTGCGTGGGCTGCTGCGGAGGAGGACCAGGGGCCCAGAGCTGCCGCAGCTTCTGACTTTTCAGTAGAACATGCAGTAGGTTGAATAACAATTAAAATAAAATTAAACTTAAAAAAATACAAAAAAAAACACGCAGTAGAAACTTCGTCCTAAAGACTCTGTGTGTGTGTGTATCTGTCAGCACATTGGTAGGTTTCCTATCGACACCCAGTTTAGAGCCTTTAATTTAGATAATTTTGACTCTATTCTTGGTTAAAAATGATAGAAACATTAACCCTGGATTCTGACAGCTAAAAGGTATAAAATCCCGTCATTGTAAAAAGTGAAATACAGAGTAGTTGATCGATATTCAGAAATTACTCTGAACCAGTACCTCTGCCTTAAATAACACGACAGAGGTTTGCACGAAAATGTACATCTCCATTCCTGCTGCAGACACTAAACTGCTTCGAGATGGGAACTCTCAGGATGAAAGACATCAGGGAACCTCTTACCAGATAAACTCCCTGCAGTGCGAGCAGTAGGTGGGCTGCCTCAGGTAAGTGGCCATGAACTTGTGTCCGTTGATCTGGTGGACCCGCCTTCGCATGGCCCTTTGGCGCTTCCTGGTAAAATGTTTGAAGATTCGGTCTCTCTGGAGAGTAGCTGCACATTAAAAGAAAGGTGGGAAAAGTGTGTAATGTATCTACCTGCACCTAATGTTTGAGAGTCTGTTAGCTCAAAATATCCCCTATTTTTTTATTCTTCAAGATGCAAAACACCCCAGCAAATCATCATGCTTTTCTACTTGACCTTAAGATTGTTGATTTTTAAGGTTAGACCTGTGCAACCCCTGAGATTCCCGCTGCCTGGTTACAATTGGCTTCCTTGGGGCCATCTTGCGAGCACAGACCAGGGGCTCCCCAAGATTCCCCTGCTCCGGTTGTGTCAGCAGCAAGGTGTCCCAGCCCCTGTCCGGCTGGTGGGACTCAGGTCCCTGGACTGGCTGCAACTACTAGCTGGTGAAGCAGTTTCTCATCACTCTGCTTTCTTTCATTCTGACGTCCTTACAGACTGAAGGAGGGACTGGCCTGCAGCTCAGTGGGAGCAGCCCAAAAGCCCCAGCCCCAGGGCCACCTGTTAACCAGGAACAGGTAGGAAGTAACCCGGAATAGGTGCAAAGTTCCTTTTCTAACATCACATTCTTTCCATAGCAGCTCCTAATCTGAAGACTCTGAACACAATGGCACCTTCTCAAGACAATAAATGTCTTCCACACAATTATACTAGAACTTTTCCCAAATGTGCAGACTTGTGATTAGTAAAAAAAAAAAAAAAAAAAAAAAGTGATGTCTTCAATACTGCTTTTAAATGAATCACTGAAACAAAGGAAATTTAAGGAATCATGTAAGAATAACTTGCTAGTAAATTTTCAAACCTGAAATACATTTCCATGAAAATGCAAATGACCAAAATTAATTGAAGAAGAGCTAAATAGACCAAATGGACTGATTTTGGGGGGGAAGACAAGGTAATGGTAGTGTTTTGTGTTAAGACAAAGTAATGGTAGTGTTTACACCTGTTTCAGAAAGAAAAAGGAAGAGCCCGTTTTAAAGGAAACTGATGATACAATGCTAAGCAGGAAGGAAAGATATAACTGATACATTCTAAGATATAACAGAAAAAAAAATCAGGGTTAATAGTTATTTTTATGTCACGAACTCCCCTACAGAGTTTAGTGAAGCCTATGGACCCCTAAGCAGAATAAAGCTTTATAACCTAAGAAAATAAGACACATAAGATGAAAAAGAAAATCAAGTATCAAAATGTATTTTAAGTGAGATAGAATAATATCTGTTTCTTCTATAAATTAATGAAATACTTAGTGACAGACCTAGTCATTATAATAATTTTGAAGTAGTGATGTGGGTAAGTTGCATTTCATAGTATCTGTGAAAAGTGTAACATAATATGAAAATAATCTGTGATTTCTATTGTTACAACAGAGGTGCTTCTAATACCACTATGGTTTGTTTATAAATGGAAGAAAATGCTACATCTACATTAGAGGTTACTGAAAATAATGGTGAAAACTTTTTTCCTCATTATTTCTGGACCATCTGAATTCCAATTTTGGACCCCAGGAAAAGTACTCCCGTCTGCTTTTATATCAAGTTCACTCATAAATACTGATGCAGGGGTCTTCAGTTTTGAAGTCTGTGTAATTACAAAGTGAGTAGGAAAGCAATATAAGGAAATACTGGTGACTGTTTTCATGTGATGGAGTCTCTGCTTTCCTGTCCTTTTACAGAGTCCCCAACACAAATGTACCTTTCCACTGAATAACAGTCTCTTTTCCTGTCCATCTCATCAGCTTCTCAATTTATTGCATGTGGTAGCAGATGCAATGAATGACTTAATAGGCGATATAAACTAACAGCAAAGTAAAATGAAAAATCTTGCAATAGTTGAAGAATTTTCGTACAGTCTAAGGAAAGTGGTATTTGAAACGTCACACCCAAAGCCAAGGGAAGGGAAGGCTCTGGCGGAGTTAGATCAGTTAACAACTGAACAAAAGAAATTTGATATGAAAATGGCATGATGATCATTTTAAGGGAGAATAATTTGAATATAACGTAATAGACCCGTGAGAAATAACGCTGCCTCAAGTACTGGTTAAACACATTGTATTTACAACTCTACTATAGAAAATCAAAAATAAAATAGTACTCTGAGATAATAAAATTGTCTGAAAAAAATATTTTGTTCTAGAAATTAGTGCCTAGAGAAAAATAACACAATTTGTTCAATATAATATTTCTACAATTTTAGTTTCCTTTTTCAAACTCCTTGTCCCACTTTTTAACTACTAACAAAATTCAGTCCTCATTTTGAAGGATTCATTTCATGTACACTTTGCGCAGTAGCAATTAATGCCCAGATAACTGGGAATGTGCAAGCTAACTAGCATTATCTTAAGAGAAAAAAAAAAACCCATGGTGACCAAGTGGGAATTTTGCCAGGGACATAACAATGAGTTATTACTAGAAGACATATCTTATTCTAGTAGCAGGTGAAAGAAAATTAAGTATGATCACTTCAATAAATGTTGAAAATTAAACTTGTATAAAAAAAAACTTTTGAAAAGACTAGAAGATAAACCATGAAGTGTTTTCCTCATAGGTTTTTCCAGGACTGAATGAGGCAATGCATTCAGAGTTCAGCACAGACTTGGGCACGTCATCCTTGAACGGCCTGGTATTTAGGGCACTCCCCCACCCCACCTAGGCAGTTGAAAATCCGTGCATAACTTTTGACTCCTCAAAAACCTTAACTACTAACAGCTTACTGTTGACCATAAGCCTTGCCAATAACATTAACAATTAACATATTTTGTATGCTCTACATTATATGTGTTATATACTGTAGTCTCACAATAAAGTCATCTAGGGAAAAGATTAAGAAAATCATTAAGAAAGCCCTGGCTGGTGTAGCTCAGTGGATTGAGCGCGGGCCTGCGAACCAGAGTATCGCGGTTCGATTCCCAGTCGGGGCACATGCCTGGGTTGCAGGCCAGGTCCCCACTGGGGGAAACATGAGTGGCAACCACACATTGATGTTTCTTTCCCACTCTTTCTCCTTCCCTTCCCCTCTCTCTAAAAATAAATAAATAAAATAAAATAAAATAAAGAAAATCATTAAAAAAGCAAAAATACGTTTGCAATATGTACTTAATTGGAAAAAAAATCCATGTATTACTGAAGCCATGCAGTTCAAACTTGTATTGTTCAAGGACCAACCATAATTTTTAAAAAAGATTTTATTTATTTATCTTTTAGAGAGGGGAGAAGGGAAGGAGAAAGAGAGGGAGACAAATACCAATGTGTGGTTGCTTCTCACACGCCTCACTGGGAACAGGCCCCAAACCCAGGCATGTGCCCTGACTGGGAATCAGACCAGGGACCCTCTGGTTCTCAGGCCAGCACTCAATCCACCAAGCCACACCAGCCAGGGATGTAATTTTTTTTGGGGGGTGGGGGGTGGGGGGCATTCAATTTCACAATACCTATCAAAGTTTTAAATGCATATTTCTTTTCATTTAGCAATTCAACTTCTACATTTTTTTTTCCCTATGAAGGACACCAGAAAGTGCCCTGACCAGTGGCTCAGTTAGTTGGAGCACCATCCTGTACGCCACAAGGCTGTGGGTTCAATCTCCAGTCAGGACACATACCTAGGTTCTAGTCCCCAGCTGCAGAGCGTACTGGAGGCCACTGATCAATGTTTCTCTCTCCCCAGACCCTTTACTCTCCCTCTCAAATCAATAAGTACATCCCTGGGTGAAAAAAAAAAAGAACACCGGAAAGCAAGAATGCATCCTATATACATATCAATTGCTACATTCTTTTTAACAGTAAAAACTAGAGTCTATACCAGAAACCTCCAAGAAAGAAATGCGGAAATGGCCGAAATGGGTTCGGCTGAGACACCAGGGCCTCCAGAGGCTCTAGCACAGTCAAAAGTTCACCGGCTTCAGTTTCTGTTGCGTATGTGAGTAGAATCTTTGGCAAGCAATCTAATTCCTCCTATTCTCAGGTTTCACATCTATCCAAGGAAGATCAGATGAAGCCTTGCCCCCAGCCCCTCTGCCCTGTGGGCGGTGTCACAGCCAACATTCCTGGGAGGTCCTCACAGCTTTAGATAAAGGTCACATAAGACAGAGTCACTCTATACACTTGTACTTCCAGGAGCCATTTGGTAACCACAAAAGAAACAGATTTTAATGTTCCCTTGTTGGGAGATGATAAAAATTGGCCTAATTCGATCCCCCTACCTAACCAGTGTTTTCACTAGCCTGCTGCTCAGCGGTGGCCAAGGCAAAACTTGTACTAAACTCCTCCCCATATCACGTTTAGATGCAAATGAATCCTCCCTGGGGCTCTAATGGCCAAGGATTTATTTACTTATCTAACTGCTTAATACTATAGAGACTGGTTAAAAGGTCAGCTCACTGTGTTTTTAATATTTCATAAATCAAATCCTCCATCCCCCCCCCAGCAGTGACTATCACCATAGCAATGCCATACCTATAATTTCCCAAGAGATTCCTTACAGCCAGAAGGATTTAAGAAGCAACTGCTTGTGATCGTGGACAATCCCTTAATGCCTCTGCTAAGGCCTTTTACCCCTCCTGCAAGGCCCTTCCCTATTTGTTTCTTAACTAGTGCACTCAAACTTATTTTTTATCTCCCTCAGAGCCGAAGTGGCCTCTCCCAAATCCTGGATCAAGGTGGAATGTTCCCCCTATTTTGTTCCCACAGCAACCTGCCAGTGCACCTCAATCTTTTCCCTTATCCACACTGGGGGTGGTGTCCCTTTCACCTCTGGGTCCCCGGCACCTCACAAGCACTCCCTATGTGGTCATTGTCACGCTTCCCTTTTCTGTACCGAGTCTTTTGCACGTGTTCCTCTTTTTGTTTAAAAACCAAGCACGTGCTCACACACACCTGGGAATTTGCAAGACATTTGGTCACTTAAGAGAATGGGCCCCCATTGTCTCAAATGGCTTTCTCTGACACGGTTCTCTTGATTGACTCCGTGAACAGGAAGACAGAGCTTTCACACTGCACATTGTTCACCTGAGTGCAGACTCGCCCTTACTTTGC